TGGAAGCACATGTCCAGAAGGAGACTGGGGGAAGAGGAAGGCCTTCATGGCACCGTTGGGCATTTCCTTACAAGGCCAGTGTCATGTAGGACATGGTGGCTTCCTGTCTTGACCAACCACTTCCCAAGACTTCAAATCAGCTCTATTGGTCTGTACTAGAAAATGTGGAACCTCTTTGGGCTTCATCATTGTGTTCTATTAAACAGGAGTGATGATACCTAGTCACAAGACTGTTGTCAGAATTTGAAATGACGATGTATACACAGCAGCCGATGGGTTCTAGCATCATCATCATAATGACCACTAGTAACACTGTTAGTAGTAATTATACCACTGCTGCTTTAACAGGAAGTAAAGGACTTGCTGAGTGCCACCAGGTTGATGGGCACTAAAGCTGGAAGGTCATGAATCAGAACAACACACTCTCAAAGGATTCATCAAAACTATTAGAATCTATCTCTGCTTGTCTCAGCTCTCTTCATTCTTATGCTGAGAATTTGAACTCTCAGAGTTTTTTAGGCAATCTCTTTATCATCTGTAAGAATTATCACCTCCACTAGCACAAACTCACTGATAGTGTTAGACCACTGAGGCAGAAAACTAACAAAGAAATTCTGGACTTAAATTCAACACCTCACCAATTGTACCTAATAGACATCTATAGAATATGTCACCCACTGACCACAGAATATAGTCTTGTCATCTGCATATGGAACACACTCCAAGAAAAACCACATGCTTGACTATAAACCAAGTCTTAATAAATTCAAAAAATTCAAAATAATACCAATCATATTCTTGGACCACAGTGGAATAAAAACAGAAATTAATACCAAGATGCTCTTTCAAAACCACACAATTACATGGAAATTAAGCAACTCACACTGGATTGAATTCTGGGGAAACAATGATTATAAGGCAAAAATAAACAAAAAATTCTTTGAAATAAATGAAAACAGAGACACAAATACCAAAATCTCTCGGGTGCAACAAAAGTAGTGTTAGCAAGGAAGTTGATAGCCCTAATGCCTATCTCAAAAGGTAGAGAGGTCTCAAAATTAACAATCTAGCATCACACTTAAAGGAAAGATGAGAATAAACCAACTCTAAAGCTAGCAAAAGAAAAGAAAGAACTAGGTTGCTTATAGCCATTACTGGGGAAAAAGAAAGAAAGAAAGAACTAGGACTGGGCTTGTTGGCTCATGCCTGTAATCCCAGCAATTTGGGAGGCCAAAGTGGAAAGATGCTTAAGTCCAGGAGTTTGAGACCAGTCTGGGCAAGATGATAACACCCCATAGGGCAACACTGCAAAACCCCTTCTTTACCAAAATAAAAGTAAAAAACTAGGCGTGATGGTATATGCCTGTAGTTCCAGCTACTTGCAAGGCTGAGATAGGAGGATTGCTTGAGCCTAGGAGTTCAAGGCTGCAGTAAGCTATGATCACGCTACTTCACTTCAGTCTGGATAACAGAGCAAGATCCTATTTCAGTTGAAAGGGAAAAAAAAGAGAAGAAAGAAAGAAAGAAAGAAAGAGGAAGGAAGGAAGGAAGGAAAGAAGGAACGAAAGAAGGAACGAAAGAAGGAAAGAAAGGAGGAAAGAAAGAAGGAAAGAAAGAAAGAAAGAAAGAAAAGAAAGAAAGAAAGAAAGAAAGAAAGAAAGAAAGAAAGAAAGAAGGAGAAAGAGAGAAAAGGAAGGAAGGAGGGAGGGAGGGAAGAGGAAAGGAAAGGAAGAAGAGGGAAGGTAAGGAAAAAAGAAAAAAATAGAAAGAAGGGGGAAGGAGGGAGGGAAAGTAAAGAAGGGAAAAAGGGAGGGAGGCAGAACACAACTGAACAAAACTGAGACACAAAAATCCATACACAAGAATTGATAAAACCAAAAGGTGGCCTTTGAAAACATAAACAAGATTGATATACTGCTAGCCAGATTAACAAAGATACAGAGAAAATCCAAATAAGCACAATAAGAAAAGACAAAGGTGACATGACAACCAATCCCACAGAAATACAGAAGATCCTGAGAGACTATTATGAACACCTCTATGCACACAAACTAGAAAATCTGGAGGAAATGGAAAAATTCCTGGAAACACACACTCTCCCAAGATTGAATCAGGAGAAATTTTGAGTTCTAAAATTAAATCAGTCATAAAAAGATCTGTGAACCAAAAAAGGCCCCAGACCAAATGCATTCACAGTTGAATTCTACCAGACTTACAAAGAAGAGCTGATACCAATTCTATTACAAAAAGTCAAGGAGGAGAGATTCCTCCCTAAGTCATTCTACAAAGCCAGTATCACCCTGATACTAAAATCTGGCAAAGGCACAAAAAACGAAAACTACAAGCCAATACCCCTGATGAACAGAGACACAAAAATCCTCAACAAAATACTAGCAAACCGAATCTAGCAGCACTTCAAATAGTTAATTTCCCACAATCAAGTAGGCTTTATTACTGGCATTCAAGTTTGGCTCAACATACTCAAATCAATTAACACAATTTACCACATAAACAGAATTAAAGACAAAACCATATGATCATCTCAATAGATGCAGAAAAGTCTTTTGCTAAAATTCAACATCCCTTCATAACAAAAATGATCAATAAATAAGGCATAGAAGGAACATACCTCAAAATAATAAGAGTCAAACTCTTACTGGCTTATTGCAGAAAAGTCTTTTCCCTATATTCAACACTCATTCATAACAAAAACCATCATACCTCAAAATTATAAGAGCCAAACTCTTATTGACAAACCCAAAGTGAATATCATACTGAACAGGCAAAAGCTTGAAGCATTCCCCTTGAGAATAAGGATGTCCACTCTCACCATTCCTCTTCAACATAGTACTGGAGGCCTAGCCAGAACAAGCAAGGGAAGGAAATAAAAGGCATCCAAATAGGAAAAGAAGTCAAACTATCTCTCTTCACTAACAATATAATTCTATACCTAGAAAACCCTAATGACTTCACCAAAAGCCTCCTGGAACTGATAAACAACAAATACAACAGAATACAAAATCAATGCACAAAAATCAGTAGTATTTCTATATATCAATAATGTTCAAGTTGAGAACCTAATTAAAAATACAACCCCACTTACAATAGTCAAAGAAGCCCTAAAAAACCTAGGAATACATCTAACCAAAGAGGTGAAAGATCTCTGCAAGGCAAAGTACAAAACACTGCTGAAAGAAGTAATGGTGACACAAACAAATGGAAAAAGCATTGCATGCTCATGGATTGGAAGAATGGGTATTGTTAAAATGATCGTCCTCCTCAAAGCACTCTGCAGATTCAGTGCTATTCCTTGCAAACCTCCATGTCATCTTTCACAGAATTAGACAAAAATGATTCTAAAATTTATATGGAAACAAAAAATAGCCCAAATCGCCAAGGAAATCCTAAGCAAAAGGAACAAAGCCAGATGCATCACGTTATCCAACTTTAAACCGTACTATAAGCCTACATTAACCAAAACAGCATGGTACTGGTACAAAAACAGACATGTAGACCAATGGAACAGGAGAGAGAACTATGAAATAAAGCCACAACCTAAAGCCATCTGATCTTCAACAAACTTAACAAAAATGAGCAATAAGGAAAAGACTATGCAATAAATGGTGCTGGGATAGCTAGCCTGCCATGTGTAGAAGAATGAAACTGGACCCCTACCTCTCACCATACACAAAGATTAACTGAAGATTGATTAAAAATTAAAATGTAAGCCCTCAAACTGTAAGAGTTCTAGAAGAAAACCTAGGAAACACTATTCTGGACATTGTTCTAGAAGAACATTGTTCTTCTAGTTCTAGAAGAAAACCTAAGAAACACTATTCTGGACTATTCTGGACCTTTGGAAAGAATTTATGACTAAATCTGCAGAAGCAATTGCAACAAGGACGACAACGACAACAACAAAATTGACAAGTGAGACCTAATCAAACTAAAGAGATTCTCTGCACAGCAAAAGAAACTGTCAACACAGTAAACAAGCAATCTACAGAATGGAAGAAAATATTCTCCAACTGTGGATCCAACAAAGGTCTAACCTAATATCCAGAATCTATAAGTAACTACTTAAATCACTGAACAAGCAAAAAACAACCCCATTTAAAAAAGACATGAACAGACACTTCTCAGAAGAAGACATACAAGAGGCCAAGAAATATATGAAAAATGGTTCACATCACTAATCATCAGAGAAATGCAAAATCAAAACCACAATGAGTTACTATCTCCTAACAGTCAGAATGCTATTAGTAAAAAGCTATTAATAAAACAAATGTAATCAACGGTGCAGAAAAAAGGAAATGCTTATATATTGATGGTGGGAATGTAAATCAGTTCAGCCCCTGTTTGGAGATTTCTCAAAGAACTAAAAACAGAATTATTATTTGATCCAGCAATCCTATTACTAGGTATATATCCAAAAGAAAATAAATTGTTTTGCCAAAAAGATGCATGCACTTTTGTGTTCATCACAGCCCTATTGACAATAGCAAAGACATGGAATCAACCTAGGTGCCCAGCAATGGTGTACTGGATAAAGAAAATGTAGTACAGGTACATTATAGAATACTATGCAGCCATAAAAAAGAATGAAATCATATCCTTTGCAGCAACATGGATGCAGCTGGAAGCCATTACCCTAAGCAAATTTACTCAGGAACTGAAAACTAAAGCCACATGTTCTTACTTATAAACAAGAGGTAAACATTGGGTAATCATGGACATAAAGATGGTAACAACAGACACTGGGGACCACTAGAGTGGTGATGAAGGGAGAGGGGCAAGGGTTGATTAACTATTGGGTATTATGATCAGCACCTGGGTGACAGGATCCATGGTACCCCAAACCTCAGCATCAGACATTATTTCCAGGTACCAAACCTGCACATATACCCCCGAATCTAAGATAAAAGTCAAAATGATAAAAATAAAAGAAAAAAAGAAACATTATCCCCTCCACTTTGGCCCCCTAAGCCCTCTGAGAATGGGAAAACTAGTTTATTTGTGGAGGAATGACATGGTTCCTCAGTTCCTTCCTATTTTGTAGTTGTGATTCCCCATTACTATAAGGGATTCTGGGAGGCTGTCACCTTATGTTGACTTACAGAAAAAGTGGCAAATGGGGTCTGACTGGCTGGTCTAAGGCTCATGTTAGCAAGTAGACTAAGCAGCCCTTGTGCTCTGTGATCATTTGGGCCAGCAACCTCCATGGCCTCATGTCTGTGTCACCTGCTCATGGTCCTTCCATCCAGATGGCCAAACCCATCCAGTGCTGACATGATACACAGTTTGCAAAGTATTTCCCATAATATTTCATTTGCAGCCCGATCTTGTAAGAGATTATTAATTATTCCATTTACAGCTGGAAAAAAATGAATAATCTTTAAAATCTGACACTGAAAAAACCCTAGAAGTTAGCTCAACTCAATCCCTTATTTTCTCAAAATAATGACATTGAGACTCTGAAAAGTTAAGTGGCTTGTTCAAAATCACAGTGACAGTAATGACAACATGGGTGTCTTCATTAGATGTGGCACTAAGCACTCAGAATATGTCATCTCATTTTGTTCTCACAATAATCTTACAAGGTAGGACATGTTGAAAACAAAATGAGGAAACAGAGGGCTGAGTCAAGGCCAGGTTTTCTGATGCAAGTTCAGTGCAGCTTCACTCCTCACAGCTACCCCAGGGTGGCCCCTCTCTACTCCTGACGTCAGGGCCATCTGAAGGGAGGACATAGCTATCAGCTAGGAAGAGAGAAATGGGCAAGGACTGCCTCATGGCTGGAAACGATCGTGAGAAGGGCACAAGCAGCAGGAAAGCTGGTGAGTCACCAGAAAGTTTGGTTAAGGATGAGGCTGAGATCAGTAACAGCAAAACAGCCAAAACGATCACAGCAGCATCTCACTCTGACCACCCAGATTACTTTTAGCAGCAGCACAGTATGAGCAAGGCTGAGCTCCAGGGCGAGCCACAGAACAAGCTAGAAATTTTTTTTTTTTTTTTTTTTTTTTTTTTTGAGACGGAGTTTCGCTCTTGTTGCCCAGGCTGGAGTGCAATGGCACGATCTCGGCTCACCGCAACCTCCGCCTCCTGGGCTCAGGCAATTCTCCTGCCTCAGCCTCCTGAGTAGCTGGGATTACAGGCACGCACCACCATGCCCAGCTAATTTTTTGCATTTTTAGTAGAGACGGGGTTTCACCGTGCTGACCAGGATGGTCTCGATCTCTTGACCTCGTGATCCACCCGCCTCGGCCTCCCAAAGTGCTGGGATTACAGGCTTGAGCCACCGCGCCCGGCCACAAGCTAGAAATTTTTATCAGGATTTGTTTTTCACATGAACTTCTCAGATTATAAATCCAATCCTGTAAACAGGTGAAACAAAGGTCCAAGAGAAAATTTGCTGATTATATGAATCTTACCACGAGCAAATCAGTGGTTCTCAGCTGGGATAACTGTGCCCCCAGGGGACATTTGATAATGTCTAGAGACAATTTTGGTTGGAGGGTTAGGAGAGTGCTACTGGTAAATAATGGAGAAAGGCCAGGGATGTGGCTAAAGATCCTTCAATGCATGAGACAGCCCCTTTCAACAAAGAATTACCAGCCCAAAATGTTCACAGTGTTGAGGCTGAGAAACTGTGGTGTAAATGAAGCTGAGCTGCATATAAACATGACTTCAGTTGCACAACAAACACCCCAGCTTTCAGAGAAATAGTCAACTAGGTCAAAGGACACTGGAGTGGGAATTGTAAGACCTGATTTCTAGTTCTAACTTGATGACAAATTTGGAACTTTGGGTGTCCTTTTCTTCCTAGAACTAGAGCAGCCATGTGATGGGACCAGTGCTTTCCTGGGGTTGGCTAGTGGCACACAGGAAACAACACAGGAAACAAACAGCAATACAGGAAACAACACCACCACACAGGCATGTTTTACCCCTGCAAAACATTCTTGAGTTATGACTAACCCAAGCCTCTGTTGGACCACTTTTGTTTTAGTAGGGCCTCAGCACTTTTTTTTCTCCAATTAAAAGGTAATCCATATCATTATAGAAACTTAAGAAAATACAGAATAACACAAACAGAAGAAAAAAGAAATATCTTATAATACCATTTCTTAGAAAAGCATTTTACTCTCAAAGTCTCCAGATGCTGACCTTCATTTTCAGTATTTTGAAGAGGAAGGGGAGAAGAGGGAGTCACTGTCCTCATCCTTTTCTTAGTTACTGTTTTCTTTTTCACTTCTTTATAGCACAAGGGAGCTTTACCAATACATCAAAAGTTCAAATAGTTTTAACTCTAGCTATTTGCCTTTGCTTGTTTTAACTTTTTTTAAAAAGTTCAGGCTGTTGATTGTGGTAAAATACAAATAACATAAAACTTACCACCTTACCCATTTTTGAATGTAGGGTTCAGTAGCGTTGTGAGTCAATCTTCAGAACCTTTTCATCTTCCAAAACTAATACTCTGAATTCATTAAACAATAACTCCTCAATTTCCTTCTCCTCCAGCCCCTGCAGTCACCATTCTACTTCCTGTTTTATGAACTTGACTACTCCAGATTCCTCATATAAGTGAAATTACATAGCATTCGTCTTTTTGTGAGTATTTACTCAGCATAATGTCTTCAAAGTCCATCCATATTGTAGCACATGTCTGAATTCCCTTGCTTTTTAATGCAGAAAAGTATTCCATTGTGTGTTCCGTTTTCTTGATCCATTTATCTATTGATGGGCACATGTTGCTTCCACCTTTGGCTATTAAGAATAATAATATATAAACATAGGTGTATGAATTTCCCTTAGAAACCCTGCGTTTAGTGTCTTAACTTCTTGAGTCATTTTTTGTTTTTGTTATAAAAACGGGGAAAAAAAGAACACCCACCTTGCAACCCCTCAGACTGACTGCTGGATAAACAGTGAAGAGCCAACATTTCCACAGGAGTGAGGATTAGATGGGGAGAGCTGGTCCGCATTGAAAATGCTGCATGGGACTAATGAGACGCAGGGGATCAGAGAAAGACTGAGGCCTTCAGCTGCTCTTCCATGAGTACCCATCCTCATCCACTCACTAAGTCCTGTGACCTGACCCTCCCATCATTGTGGCTTTCTTCCTTGTCTGTGGTTGGTTGTCTGGATTCTCTGTGAAGCTCTTCTTCCTTTCCTTTGCCTGAAAAATGCCTATCCCATTTCAAGACCTCCTTATGTGAGTGTTCTGTCTGTAGAGAACCTATAGAAAAACTCAGGCATATTTTATTTCACACAAAATGAAAGTGTGAAGTAAAGTAATTCCTACCTGTGTGAAGTAAAGTAATTCCTACCTGAGTAACCTAAAATCTGATTATCTTGGTGTTTGATAATTCCTCTACTGTAAGTGACAAAGCTTTAGAAAACAACTATTTCAGAATGATAGAGCTATAAACTTCTACTTCGGGAGGCAAAGTTCAATCCTTGTGGGCCCAAAGAGGCATATCTACTTTTAAGTTGCTCTATATTCTTGAGAAACTCAATTTGCTCTTAGAAGACTCGTGCCAGTGATCCTCCCGAACTCTAAACTTACACAGGCCTGTGACCTCCATCTTCACTGTAATATCTTCTATGTTGAAGCACTTGCCAGTTTACAAACCACTTTCACATCTATTGTCCTGATTTTCATAGTTCTTTGGTGGGCAGACAGGGATCAGTGCACCTGTTTCAGAGCTGAGGAAGTAGAAACTCAGTACACAGCCAGGATACAGAGAAGTCAAAGTGATGGTGATGGTATCTTCTATGCTCTGTTGCTGTGGCCCCTTCTATTCCACTAACTGGAACACCAACGGTCATCGGGAGACACCAAGGACACATCCAGGAGCCCCCAACCAAACAGTTGAAGGGGATTGGAAGGCTCCATGTTTTTAGTTACTTTCAGTTCTAACTCATGACAAAACAAAAACACTGAGAGACCAGAGAAAGAGGTTGATAAATCCAGTTCTCAGAAACATTCAATAAGGAGTTACGGAAGTGATGTCTTGAGCAGCCACGAGATGATGGATCCCTGCACCCATCCTCCAGAAAGTAAGCTTTACATAGCAAGCTTTTAGGGTAACGCATGTGCTGCTGCTTGTCACGCCTCCAGACTTTCTCACCAAGACTTGCGACCACTTCTTTACGAAGGGTAATCTATGCTAAAGGCATTGTTTAAAGACCTTGCTGCAGAACACCCTGGTGTATGGGTCATCAGTTATCACGGTGCTTTTGCTTCAAAATGGCCTCACTCTTGCCATGTAACAGCTGTTTTCCTGCATATACAAATGTGTGCATGAGGAGAGGAGGAAGGAAAACCACTTAAAATATCAGAAAAATAAGAATAAGTAAAGCCTGATTGATTATGGGCTAGTACTGTCAGGTAAATGTTGGAGAGAATGGAATTACTAGGTGGACCTATTAAAGGACTTCTTACATATTCATAATTATTTATAAGATAGACTTTGTAAACATGCTGAAACTATTAGTGAAAGATAGTTTCCAGTTGTTTAAAATGATGCATTGACCTATTGGGGAAAATTCATCACCTGAGTGCAGCTTACAGCATTGCCATTAGGAAGAGTTCATGCTGTGAGAAAAAAACTATCATTACGGCAGCTCTGAACATGTGACCTTTTAGAATCTCTATGGAATTAAAGGATGTGAAAAGGATTTAGCTGTATCACTAATATGGCTGTGGCTGTTTGTTTCCATTCCGCCCCACTCTACAACTACCTACCTGCATGTAAATAAATGGTAACATAATCAAGCCCTTGTGATAGTTCATTAAAATATTGCCTCTCAGCTGAATGCGTCCTTAAATCCTTCTCCCCCGGCTTTTACATGTGAGCAGTGAACGGCTTGTGTTTTCATATAGCACAGAACATTATTTTCCTTCTGCAATTGCTCCTGTAGAAGGGTAAGACTAGCACTTTTGCAAAAGGGTGACACTTACAAATTGTTTTTGTCTTCGGAGTAAGCCACTGTTTAGATTTAAGAAAAGTAAAGTTTCACAAGTTTTCCTTGGGTAGGACTGAGGGATTTCCCATCATAGGAGAGGGAAAATATTTTTGTCCCTACCCGCTTAGTTTTATTGCCTGGGGTCCTGTAAATTAGACTGACTGAAGACAAATTAACTGGAGAAAAGGCATATAATCTTTATTTTCTGTTAATTTTTATGTGATATCATTCCACAAAAGAAGTGAAGATCCAAAGAAGCGGATAACCTAAAAGCTTATATGCCATTTTTAACAAAGAATGCTAAATTGTGGCAATGTCACAAGACAAAGACAAAGAAAAGAGTTTTGGATTTCCAAGGGTGGTAAACTGTGGGAATGTAAATAGATGGGGGACACTAATGGGAGAAAAGAGCTATCCTAGTAAGTTTGTCTGTGCAGGCTTATCACAGTGCCAACTTTTCATCTCCTTCGTGGCTATAAAACTTCCCTGGGAGAGGGCATTTACGACAGCCCTTATTTATCAGGAGTTTCTGCTTGCGGTTAGATAAAGGACACTCCAAGAAGGTATCTTTCTATATCTGTTGACTCTCAAATGTCTTCAGCTCTAAATAATTCTTATGCCAAAGTGGTATATTTTCGGGTGGCATATTATGATCCCCTTCACTATCTTATGCAGGTCTTCAGTTGATTAGAATTTGTTTCCATCATATGCATGATGTGTAAGAGGTCCCTGTTCAGATGGAGTTAAATGTTTCAAGTTATGTATATTGCTCTGCTTGGGACATCAGGCCCTGGAGAGTGCTGTGAAATCAGCAATGGATCTAATGGCTGAGATCAACAAGTGAGTCCAGGCCAGACAGTCT